TAGTATTCAAGAGATAGTAATTAGTCTTTTAATGAAATTGGAAAATATGGAAACCTATATGACTAACAGATTCGTTTCAATGTGGACAGAAGATTAAGTTAAGAATGTGATCGTGGACTGAGTGTGTCTGGGCGCTACATACATGGCTCCTGTAAAGTGGGTTCAGATGTACATGTTTTAAAATGTGTAGTCTGTGGCAGTATAATTCCTGGAGGTCAATATTTTAGGAATAACTAAATCAGTCAGTTCATTAAATTCTAGACGTGCGGTTAGGACTGGGCGAAGAAGAAATTTATATAGAATTTTGACTCTAAAATTTCTTCATAATCGTTCGTCTAGAAGAACTAAAAATAAATGTTTGTTTAAGTGCACATTTCATTTCTGTAGTTTCTGTCGTGAAGTTCGGGGTGTACCATTAATGGAAATCGAGTGATTACCCATATGATTACTCTATTAGGACAGAAGCCAGAGTTTTATTGTTATTATCTTACTCAGTATTAGAAAAGTCAGTGAAAAAGATCTTTTACATGTTGAAATGCTGCTGTTACTTGCGCCCTGAATACGCGCTGTTAAAAGTTACGCAAGCACCGCGACGCTGAGCGCAAAACAAAATCTAAAGCGATATCAATGTAACGTTGCCACAGCCAGAAACCTACACGTGATTAATTGATTTTAAGATTTTCCGCTCTTTATGATCATAAGTTGATCCTATAAATTTACAGGCGCAGCAACCACAGCACACAGACTGCTGATTTACGTATATTTTAACAGGCAGTGTCTGGATTGGTTGAGCTTAAAGGTTCAAATATTTTGTATCTTGCTTTGAAGCATATAATCGATCTGGAGATCGAGACTAGGTTTTTCTAAAGGACCCGGTAGAGTAGCGATCTTCGGTTACCTTAAGTTTACCTCATAACCGAATCAGTTACAGTTTACGAAATGTTGTGTTTGGAAAAAAACTTAGACGATGAAGTGTATAAAATAACACTCGTGTTCATCGCCTGAAAGAGACTCGTACATGATCTATATTTTGGACGGCGCAGAGGAAAATATTGTGGATGAAGCGGTCATAGTGTGTAACTCACACTTGGAAGGACGGACTGAGGAAAATCGTAGCTGGTATCTCGACAGAGATTCGAAGTTGGAACCTCTTGAATGCTAGTCAGGCATATTAACACTGAGTATCAGTCTGATATTTAATATGAGGCAAGCTACACAGTCTGAGAAGCGAACTTCTGAAACCCAAGTATGACATAAGATTTAATATAGTTTGCTGCACTTCACTCATGTTCGGCGTGTGACGTCACTTTGATGTACCATCCATTATTTAAGGCAATGTTGATGGACAATAAGTTAAGATACTTGCCATGAGCACATTAATTATTAAAGCTACCACACAACTAACTGCAGTGTTTTCCACATGGACTAAGCCAAGTATGACGGAAAAGAGGATATTTCGTGTTAGAAGGTTGGAATCACTGGGCCGG